GCTATGTTGAGTAAGGGGCGAGAAGGTTCTCAGGCTTTTGCTAAATTGCATCTCCGGACGTTAAAGCAGGAAATCTAGTGTCACGTTGTCCTTATGGATGTATTACACATCCTACATTCTTCTTGTGCTTTTTAGACTTTATGTGTTTATGATGCAAGTGAACATTTACCAAAGCTATTGTAAAGTTTGCTGTCCTGTTGCTTTATATGTACGAGCATAAATTGAAGCATTCTGGTGATGCAAAGATGGTACTTGAACCATTAGCATTTTAGCATCAATAAAGGCATTTTACAACACTTAATGATTCTATGTCTGAATGTATCCTCTTGGTATATCCATAGATCGTGTGATAACAATTTCCTTCGCCTCTCCTGAATCTTTATGTAAAACAATTACTACAGTCCAAAAGAATCTTAGTCATTTATGCAGGGCATTCCAGTAAATATTACTGTAGGTTCTCATGTGTGGATCGAGGATCCATCAGTTGCTTGGATTGATGGACAAGTATCAGAGGTTAATGGACAGGAAATTCAGGTTCAGACATCTGATGGGAGGACGGTATATCTCTTTTACATTGAGTAGTATTCATTCATGAAATTACTGTTGCTTTATTTGTTTTTCCATAGAAGTTTAGTGTGTACTCTGGACTCAATTGTGTGACCAACTCTAACTTACTTGAAAATCTGGTTATCCTATAGCCTAATTGATTAAATTAACTAAATCGACTTGAAAATAATACAATATTCTGATGATGGAATTATAATGTCTTTTAATACTGCGACAGAGGATCTAATTCACTAGTCTTCTTTGATTGTTGGTTTTTATATATACGACTACAGTCTTGTTTGGTGCAACCTGCCGTAGTTTGCAACTGTAAGGCTTTCGCGGCTTCCATACCCATATGTATCCGTTTCTTCCATCTGTACTTGAACTGTATTTTCATTTTACCCTTCTTTCCACAAATATTGGCACATTAGCTTAACTGTTTTATTATATTTTAGTGGTAAAGGAAAGATCCACTGCAGTTGTTCTAATTTACTGCTATTTAACTCTCTAGTTTTCTGCTAAGCCACATTGACACAATTCCCAATTGACAATGCACATCTCTAACCTGGCAATGACCTGATTTTTACTGTTGCATATTTTCCTTTGATTTCATCTAGGTTGTAGCAAATTTATCAAAAACTTACCCCAAGGATGAAGATGCTCCTGATGGAGGAGTTGATGACATGACTGAACTTTCATATTTGCATGAGCCTGGAGTCTTACATAATTTGGCAACAAGATATCAACTCCACGAAATCTATGTAAGTTTATAGTCCAATGCTCAAAATTTTATTTACTTTATGTTCAATTTGGTTAAAGAAAGGATTGAAACTGCAGCCACAGATGACTTTCTTATATTATTATATCATATTCTGACATTATTGCAGACTTATACTGGAAGTATTCTTATAGCAATTAATCCGTTTCAAAAACTGCCTCATTTATATGACGGCCACATGATGAAAAAATATAAAGGAGTACCACTTGGTAAACTAAGTCCTCATGTCTTTGCTATTGCTGATGCTGCTTACAGGTACTCCTGTGTACAACTTCAACTCCACATAAATTTTCTCATGAAAAATAATGCTATTGTAATTGAAATCTTGAAAATGAATTAGGGCAATGATCAATGAGGGTAAAAGCAATTCTATATTGGTTAGTGGAGAAAGTGGTGCTGGTAAGACTGAAACTACTAAAATGCTTATGCGCTATCTTGCCTATTTGGGCGGCCATAAAGGCACTCAAAGGCGGACTGTGGAACAGCAAGTACTGGAGGTAAGCTAAATGCTCGGATTACTGTTTTAAACTCTTTTACTTCTTAAAATTACAAGGGCAGGTAGTTAGGAACTTGTACTTTCCTTTGAGGCTTAAATTCTGCATAATTTCAGCTATATAGACAACTTATTGCATGGCGCGAGTGCATTGTCTAATCACAAGTAAGAAGAATATATATGAATATGCAACATCATGCTTTCCTTACCAAACACAAAAGAAACAGGGCATGTTCTGGCGGAGTTAGTAATGTGAACGTCAGTTATGGAATGAAATTTCCAAATAGAGTGGATAGATATAGAGGATTTGTACGACTAACCCCAACTAGTTTGGGTCGATTGATTGATTGATTTTTGGAGATATGAATGCATGGAAAAGAAATGAATTATCATATTCACATAAAAAGTGGAGCTTAAGATAGGATTAAACCTAAGAAAATGATGAAGTTTCAGAAACTTCAGTCTATCTTNATATATATATATGTAATGAATTTGATAGTAGTTTCCTTAATTGAAAGTTTGTAGAGGGGTCAATGTGTATGTGAAACTGTCAGTATTTTGAAAATTTTCACATCCATTTGAATTAAATAATTTCCAAGAGGCTCTTTTCATGTCTAAACAGTCTAAATCATGAGGACAGGGCTTCAAACCGATAGGTAGTTGTTCTATTTCTCTTAAAGCCTTCTCTATTGGTTATCTCATTCCTTTAACTCTTGGTTGTTATATCTCCAGTCAAATCCAGTACTTGAAGCATTTGGCAATGCCAAAACAGTTAGAAATAACAATTCAAGGTGAGATACTGGCTCTACGCATGTTTCCAATAAAAAAGTTGTCTCATGATTGCTTCAACAATCAGTTGAAACTTTTTGCTTCTGAAAGCTACTTAGACACTGTTGTTTACAGCCGTTTCGGTAAGTTTGTGGAGATTCAGTTTGACAAGAATGGAAGAATATCTGGTGCAGCTATTAGAACTTATCTGCTTGAAAGATCTCGAGTTTGCCAAGTTTCAGACCCTGAACGGAACTATCATTGTTTCTACCTTCTCTGTGCAGCACCGCAGGAGGTAATCTGCAGCAATGATATTCCTTTTTACGTCTTTCATGACCCTGAGTTAATTTGATTGTCACAATAACCTTTTGACATTTTCCTAATCATAATAGGAGATCAAAAGGTATAAGTTGGGGGATCCCAAATCATTTCACTATCTCAATCAATCAAATTGCTATGAACTGGTAGGCGTTAGCGATGCTCATGACTATCTTGAGATAAGGAGGGCAATGGATATCGTTGGAATTAGCGAGAAAGAGCAGGTAATGCCCTAATTGCTTTTTCTGTCCTGCAACTCTCCTTTCTGATTTTAATAAGCTACTCTGTGTCTTCTTCAGGAGGCAATTTTTAGAGTTGTGGCTTCTGTTCTTCATCTTGGTAATATAGAATTTGCAAAGGGCAATGAAACTGACTCATCTGTTCTGAAAGATGACAAATCTAGGTTTCATCTTCAAACTACTGCAGAGCTTCTGATGTATGTTCTGCCCTTCATATTTCACTACTCTTCCTTTGCTCTTTCCTGCATGAATTTTTGATTTGATTCAATTCTTCTATCAGGTGTGATGTTACTTTACTGGAGGATGCCCTACTGAGACGTGTAATGGTCACTCCTGAAGAAGTTATAAAGAGAAGTCTTGATCCTGAAGCTGCAGCAGTAAGCAGAGATGGGTTAGCTAAAACAATATATTCTCGCTTATTCGACTGGTATGATTCTACTATCACAGCCAGATCAGTGTGGTTCTTATCTGTTAGATTGACACTATGGAAAATTATGTCTACTGTTCACAGGTTGGTGGACAAAATTAATAACTCGATTGGGCAAGATCCTAACTCCAAATCTCTAATTGGTGTTCTTGACATTTATGGTTTTGAAAGTTTCAAAAGTAATAGGTAGGCACTGGTGGACAAACAAAATGAGTAGTAAATGTGATGTCTTGCATTTGACTTTTCTAACTTTTATTCCCAGTTTTGAACAATTCTGCATTAATTATACAAATGAGAAGCTGCAGCAACATTTTAACCAGGTATGGTAGTTAAGTTCTATAGAAGCAGTTCTGTTCATTTTTGGTAAGCACACCTCAACTACTGTGAAATACATCTTTTTTCAGCACATGTTCAAGATGGAGCAGGAGGAATACTCTAAGGAAGAGATAAATTGGAGCTATATAGAATTTGTGGACAACCAGGATGCCCTAGATCTTATTGAAAAGGTTCCATCGTTTTGGTTTATAGCGAAACCTTTTGGCTTCAAATATACAAATATATCTGTTTGCACATTATAGTCATCGTTCAGTATAAACCACTTATGTGAAAATGGCATATCATGAATTGATTTGTATTGCTGTTTACAGAAACCTGGAGGTATCATTGCTCTTCTTGATGAAGCCTGGTAAGATATGTAATAGCTCATCTACTATGGGCATTATACTGCTGTGTGTCCCCTCATTTAGCATCTAATTTCTTTATATGAGCTTCTGTGGGAGAGAGGGATCTTCTGATCGACGTTTTCCATGAATAATTTTTCCAGTATGTTCCCCAAGTCAACTCACGAAACATTCTCACAAAAGCTTTATCAGATATTCAAGGCCAACAAACGCTTTATCAAACCAAAATTGTCCCGCACTGAGTTTACCATTGCTCATTATGCTGGAGAGGTAATATGATATTTGTTTTTTCTTAGAAGTCTTGTCAATTGCTTCTACGGTTGGATATGGGGCATTATTTACTACTTGCTTAAAATGTTTCCTTTTTTCCCCACCAGGTTCAATATCAATCTGATCAATTTTTGGATAAGAACAAAGACTATGTTGTTCCTGAACATCAGGATTTGTTAAGTGCTTCTAAATGCCCATTTGTTGTGGGCCTTTTCCCTCCTGTTGCTGAGGAGTCAACTAAATCTTCATCCAAATCATCCAAGTTCTCATCCATTGGTTCTCGTTTCAAGGTAGTTACTAACTTATATACTTCTGATGAATTTTGGAGATCAATAGTATACTAATTATCAATAGAAATTCAGTTTGATTGGCTATATGAATTTATATATCCTCTCAGTTTCATTCCTTTTATGCTTAATACTTTGTAGTTTAATCCAAATCAGCATTTGTAAACTAGGGGTTCTCTAAAATCTCAACACTTATCTCTACATGATGTACAAATCTTTAAACAAACTAAAAAGACTCTTGATAAACTAAAGACCTAGTGCAAGTGCAAAAATGACAACTGAGCCTTAATCGCAACTAATAGGTATTGCATATGTGAATTGTTTATTCCCATTGTGTTATGCTCTAAGCTAAATCCTCATGAATTTTGAGAGGTTGTAGGTCTTTTGAGGCAACTTTCCCTTGTGTGATTTTAGGTCTACCATCCACTTTTAATACATTCAATCATCATAGTATCACACTTGCGACAAGTGCATGGGAAGGCCTATGTTGGACATGACCAGACCATCTCTGACAACATTCTATTATTTTATCCCTTTGTGTGCCACTTGCATTCTCCTATTTAAGTATCTACTCATTAAGGAATATCAGGTATCAAATTGCGGGGATATGGTCGTTCTAATCTTGTCTATTCTTAGATCATTTCAAATCCATCTTAATTCTGCGAATTATGACACTCATCTCATGGATGTGTTATGCTTCATAGGTCCAACATTTACTCTCATTAATATTGCTAATTAATGACCTTAATATAAAACTTTCCTTATATGTGGTAGGTATCACCCTGTCGCACATGACTATCATATCCACTCCTCCATTTTGACCTTTAAGTTTTGATTCTATCTATTACTTTATCTGTTATGTCCTCTTGGATTTTTGTGATCTAAGAATATTTTTAACAAAGAACTAACAGCCTAGTTCCAAGTCCTTACTTTAAATAGGTGATAGAATCTAATGGCCAATTTACTGTTGCAGTTACAACTCCAATCATTGATGGAAACCCTGAATTCTACAGAACCTCATTATATCAGATGTGTGAAGCCTAACAGTCTTTTGAAACCTGCAATATTTGAGAATGTTAACATTATGCAGCAGCTACGTTGTGGTGTAAGTAAATTTCACATTTTCATATGAAGAAATTCCTTTTTAATTATTGAATTATGTGCTTATATTTTGTTGTTCGAAGGGTGTTCTAGAGGCAATTCGAATTAGTTGTGCTGGCTATCCTACGCATAAGACATTTTCTGAGTTTCTGAATCGATTTGGTCTTCTTGCTCCAGAGGTCTTGGAAGAGCAGTAAGTACTGGTCTTGTTCCTGTTCATCAAAAAAAAAAAAGACAAAAAAGGATATTTGTGGTTTCCCAGTTTGACCTCTTGATTATCAGCTGATATACTATCTTTCTTTAACTTGTTTGTGGGCAGCGTTGATGAAAAAGTTGCATGCGAAAAGATATTAGAAAAGACAGGGCTTGCTGGTTATCAGGTTATTTGATGCTTGCCTTGCTATCTTTGTGAACTGATTTCTATTTCTTAAATGTCGAGATCAATACTATCAAATTATTCACTTCTATGCTTACACACACGAAAGAAATATGTATGTATGTATGTATGTATGTATGTGTCATTTCATCCACTGCCTCTTTGTAGTGTAGGAGTAATCAATATTTCCTTCACCATTATTTTCGAAAATGTAGCCCAATTCATGATACTAATATCATTTTTACCTACCTTGCGACCTGCCTAAGTTAACAAGTCTTATCTTTCATGCAGCAGGTTTGGAATTTTCTAATAAAAGGTTCCTTTTTTTTTTTTGCTCAAAAAGGAATCATTCTCTTGCACTTTGAGCATGTTGGTTAAGTTGCTCTCAATTTCTAGACTATTGATACTTTGTCTTTTACTTGCAATGATTGTATATCTTTGCTGATAGATAGTTGCATATACTTGCATAGTAGAATTTGCTAATCTGAGGCACTGAGAGCTTTCCTCCTGTTACTAGGTGCTGCTGATATCTGTAATATACTTGATTGAATGCGTGGAAAAGTTAATCCACAATATTTTCATGTACATGTTCCAAGGATCATTTTAAGCTTGATCATTCTTCTTCTTTCATTTAAATTGACTTCCCAAATTTATGAATCAAGTTACACTTCAGACAGGGTTGCTAATATTGTTTGCAGATTGGAAAAACAAAGGTTTTTCTGAGAGCAGGGCAGATGGCCGAGCTAGATGCACACAGAGCTATAAAGCTAACCACTGCAGTTAAGACAATACAAAAGGAAACTAGATCTCATATTGCATGGAAAAATTATGTTTCCTTGCAGAAGGCTGCAATTTGCTTACAATCCTTGTGTCGAGGTTTGTCTATCATTATCTGTTTGGCTTGTCTCTCTCACATTGTGGACTTTGTTTTGAATGTTAGATGTTTTACCCATTTACTAAGTTTCATTTTGCCACTTACTGGGGCATTTTGGTAGCTTACTTCACTCATGTAATCTGTTACTACCTCAATTCTTTTACAGTTAGATAAGTGAGCAATTCCAGTAGTGAGTCTTCCTATTGAACATTGATCAGGTTGCAACGTAAATCTAACAAGAAAATACATTTTTATTTTAATCTAAGTATATTCTCTTAAAACAAAATTGTCTTAAAGCAATCCATGGAAATCCAGACGTAGCAACAAAAAAAAAGAAAAGAGTATAATGGAAGAAATAATCCATACAGGCAAAGCCAACTAGTTGAGATCCATGCAGACTTGGCGAAAAATAGGGTACTATGGAGAAGAACATATCCATATAGGCGAAGCCAACTAGTTGAGATTAAGGTCTTGTCTTGTTAGTACGCTCACATTAGTCCAATATTTGCTAGTTGTTTTTTTAATCTTGTCAGGTGATTTGTAGTGGGATTGCACTGGGTTTTTTGTTGTTGTTGTTGTTGTTGTGTCAGATGATTTGTAGATCAGTAGAAAATATTGAGAACTTCTAGGAAATATTGGAACAAGATGAGTCTAAGTAGAGCAAAATGGATAATGAGGATTCATATAGCCAACCTTAAATAGCTTAGTACTGAGACTTAGTGTTGTATATTCTCTGTTTCTCCTTCAAACTACTTATGGTTCCTTTCTTTGCACACCACCCACCAAATACATGCTGGAATTGTATCCCATATAAATTTGTCAGCATTTTTTGCTTATTTTAAAAAGTAATAGGGCAAAGGTTTGGAGAAAGTGGAAATGAGAACTTTCAAGAAAATAATGGGAGTCATATTTTGTAAGATTTACATCTGAGAAAAAAATAGAGCATCTCTTCTATTTGGAAGGGGCCAGACGGTGGGTGGTGGGGTGGGGTGGTTATTAATATGCCATTCCATATATTGATGTATGTTAATTGTCTTATTACAGATATAAAAGGCCAGGACAACAAATCAACTTTTGCTTTTTCATATCTGCTATTTAGACAAGTTTAATAAAAAAATCAACAGGACTTTCTTTTCTAGATAGATACTTCTTGTTCTCAGAATATTTATTGTTTTTGTCTTTACAGAGTTCCAAACCATTAATTAATTCCCCATAATCTCCTTTCATCACCATGATCTAAGGTCTCTTATGTACAAGCTGCTGCATTCCAAAAAAAGAACAAGATTAAAAAAAAAACGTATTTGTCAGCTTAAGATGTAACACAAGTGCTCCGTTAGTTCATCTGTGCTTATTGTCTGAAGTATATGATGGTAATACCGTCACCCTGACATCCTCCTCGTTTGCTAAAAGTTAGATCACTTATGCATGTTCCGTTTTGTAAAAATGAGCACTGTGGAAATAATTGCTGTATTTTCACACCCTTCTAGAACTGCATCCACTTTAGAACAAGCTTTTCAGCTTGGTCTACTATTCCAATAGGCTGCCCTATTTTTCCGCATTCAATACATTTATGTGCTCGCTCTCTCATATTCTTCAGCAAGGTTTGCTTTCAAATTGTATGTCACCATGAAAAGAGAGGCTGCTTCTCTCAGAATTCAGACAAAGTTCCGTGGACACTTGGCCAGAAAATCCTACACAAAACTTAAATGTTCAGTCATCGCTCTTCAGACTGGAATTCGAGTGGCAGCTGCAAGAGAGAAGTTCAGATATGAAAAACAAACCAGGGCAGCAATTATTATACAGGTTAGTTTGGTGGGTTTTTTAATTTATTGATTCGGGGTTCATGCTAAGTTTGTTGTCTAGTGCTGACAAGATAATATACTTGCAGACCCATGAGCGTCGTCACAAAGTCTTTTCATACTATAAGAAACTCATATGGGCATCAATTCTAGCACAATGCAGATGGAGGGGAAGAGTTGCAAGGAGGGAGCTTCGGAAACTAAAGATGGTACGTTCTGGATTACTATACTCTTATATTACCTGTATTCATAGTTTTCCAATTTCCTAAGCATAGTAATGGCCTAATGGGTTGACGATTTGAATGACCTGGATGATCTATCTGCTAGATAGGGCTTGATTACTGAAGTGATACATGGTTCACTTGTTTGTTATTATTTGCATAATAGAAGTACATTAGAGGCTGTTTAAATACTTCTCTGATTAGCTGGAGTTCATGGAAGGTTAGAAAATCCATCAGGGAAGTTTGGAATATGATCCCAGCTTGTATCTTCTGGTGTATATGGACTGAGAGAAACACAAGATGTTTTGAGGGCATTTCTACTCCAAATTACATACTTAAGGCTAGATGTTTAGCAAGTTTATGTAGCTGGAGTAACCTTTCACCTGTAAATTCCCCAGAATCCTTTTTGGACTTTGTTAGCTCCTTAACTTTAGACTAGGCCTTTTGTAATAGAACTAACAATGTTTTTACTGCATTGTACATTTTGCATCTTCTTGATGCCTTATATGAAATCCGTTATCTTATCGGGAAAAAATACTTCTCTGAAGCTTTTAGTGGAAAGTGTTGAGCGTCTAGGAAGCTTCCTGTCAGTAAACCTTGTAGACAAGTGGTTAAAATGCATGAATTCATATCAAAAACAGATCGAAAGTATTCATATCCTTTTAATATAGGAACTGTACCATTTGAAAGTACATATGTACATGTCACTTACTTTGAGAATACAAAGTCACACGCTAACAAGAGATATTTAAGCTCAAATAGTTATTATTGTAAATTTGGACATCAGGTAAACACAGATATATACATTGTAAAGTATGCCTATAAAAAGGAATCAGGTGTAAGTCGTTAGTCATAGTGCATCTCTCCCTCCATTAGTTTCATTTTGATTTCATTTGCGGTAACAGGATTCCCCTAAATTTCCTGCTGTGGAATTGCCCTTTTCCACGTGAAATACAGAAGAGTGAATCAGAATTGTTGCTTGCAAATTTGATAGGTTAATCTATTGAAGTTACAAATATTCCCTAACATCTATGGATAGATAATATACATTTCAATGTCTTCAGGCTTCAAGAGAAACAGGCGCACTGAAAGAGGCAAAGGTTAAGCTTGAAAAACAGGTTGAAGAACTTAAATTGCAGTTGCAGTTGGAGAAACGTCTAAGGGTGATATACTTGTACTAAGCAGATAATCTTTCTTTTTTCCCTGCGCAGTATGTATAGCACATTGGGGATTTTATTTGGATAGCATTGGTAGATAAGATATTACTTGAAAGTCCAAACAATCTGGGATTCTAGGGCTTGTGGGTTACTATGAGCTTTCCATTTTGAGAAAGTTGAACTATTTGAAGCATTCGACAAATCACAAATAGGAAAATCTCTTTTCAGATGGACTTGGAAGAGGCAAAGGACCAGGAAATAGCAAAATTGCAGAATTCATTGCGGGGCATGCAAAGCAAACAGAATGAAACAAATACATTGCCCATCAAGGAACATGAGGCTGCTCAAAAAGCTATTGAAGGAGACTCTTCAACAGTTGAAAAGAAAACGGTCCCAGTTGAGCATGCAGAAACAGTTGAAGCTTTAACTGCAGAAGTGGAAAACTTAAAGGTATGACAGTCAATTCATAGAGTGATCCACACACCTTTTCCCCTTCACATTCCTCCACCCTAAAGGCCTAAAACTGAGGAGAGAAGATAGAGAAAAATAGGTGAAAGCATTCATCTTTTTCCAGTTACATATGGTTGATGTCTCATGCTTATACCTATTGATAGGTGTTATTTAGAAAAGAAAAGCAACGTGCTGATGATTCTGAAAGGAAATGTGCTGAAGCTCAGGAATCAAGTAAGGAGAAGTGCCGGAAGTTAGAAGAGACCGAAAGAAAAGTTCAACAACTCCAGGACTCGCTTAACAGGTAGCATTACTCGAATAATTGGTACCAGATTTAGTCTTTTCATCTTATAAGAACATGGATCACCAAGGTTGAGTCGGCAAAAATATAAACTCTGATAATACCTTTTAAAACATACGGGGGTGGGGGAATATCCCTTTTTCTCTTTCTTTTTGAACCATTTAGCAATTGAAACCAAACTTGAGAGTTATATTTCTGAATGAAGTTATCGGTTGTTCTTTCTACCCATTTCATGTGAGGGAGGACTGGATTTCAGCAATTAACTGCAAGAATTAATCAGGACTCTTTTACCAAGTTCTGACATCACGTTTTGCTTTTAATTGTCCAAATCTCATATGAAATTTGTCACCTGATTAATAGGTATATTGATCAAAATGTGCTTGAAAGGGCCCTTAAGTTAGTGGTCCCTCTGAAGCAATGTGATACGTGCCCTTCAAAATAACATTAAATAAAATACCTTATTGGAATTGCAGATCTTCTGCAAAGAAATATATATTTGACAAAAAGAAAAGGATAAAGCGGTATCAAAGTGTATACAAAGGAATCCAAAGGTTGGGGTTCCAATTAGAAAAATCTAGGGAATCTTTACACATGTAGGCAATTTCCTAAGTTCAAAACTGTAAAAAATATTCGGACAATATAGTTTTTTTCTTGAAAATTTGCTTTATATAAAAGATCTAGTTACTAGTTTGATTCTGAAAGAAAGCATGCTATTTGAGTTCAATGATTGACTTTGATTCTAAAAGACATGATGCTATTTGAGTTCGATCATTGATAGATTTTTGTAACCAGTTCAGACGCTTCAGATTGCTTAATTTCCTTTGCATTGGAACTTCTCATCATGGCAAAATGCTCAGCCAAGACAAATAATTGGCATATATTCATATTAGCTTCTAATATACACATATAAGAAATCATAAACAAATTAGTCTTAATATCATATTTTCTAGATATCTTTTACAAGGAGTGCTGCTTGGGATGCTATACTCACGGCGCATAACCTGAGGAAGAGGGATACATCACTATATCCGGTGTTGTAGGTGCAGGAAGAATTGAGAAGACACCAATCATTTGCTCCATCACTCCAACTATGCCACAGAACTTCGGAGTATGGTGTATTCTTTGTTCAAGCATCTCTTGGGTACTCCCTCGAACTAATGCAGAAATAGCATCTTCGAGGATGAGAGTGGGGAGAGAGAGGAGGAAATACGGAGGTTAGCAACCTTGTACATCTTTTGGTAAATATGAGGATAAGGGAAACGGGGATGCTAGAAGGAGTCGAATATCACAAGGAAGATCAAAAGCTTATTGTATCTATACATTTGGTGTAAAGAAAGCATTCCATTATGTATAGACGATGGAATGGCATTTTGGAAAACCTTCTAAAGTCTTGTAACTTCGGCCTTGGTGCATATTAATAAAATGATTTATTTGATTTATCAAACAAAAGAGAGAAAAAAGAATTACTGAACCACCTCAGCTTGGACGATTATCTTTTGACGAACTGAATTGGTCATATAGAACTGGTAGAATCATTGTGCACTACTAGATGGAAATGATACTTTAAACATGATCAACTTCCTGATTTGTAAGGTCAGGCTGGGGTTATCTAAAGGGAGTGTACAATGACATATACGTGGAGAAATTTTCTAGAATTTGTCAAGTTCTCCTGGTAGGTCTGCTGGAAATTCTACGAAGTGGCAGATGCAGGTGATATCTTGGAAACGCTTGAAATGGATGTTTGTTCACATGAAGAGTTATTTCTCCTGTCATTTTTCCTGATACTGTTGCATTAGATTCATAAGCTTTAGTATGTGGTAAAAACCGATAAGTCATATGTGAAGCATCATGTATCTAGCAAAGTATGCCTTATAGATGATTCCTTTGCTATCACTCATATCTATGGTGTTGTGAGTCAAGGTTGGCACTGAAAGGTGCCAACGTAACAAATGTGTCAAGCGGTGCAATGTGTCTTTTAGTTATTATCCACACATGCTGGAAATCCTCTATAACCTTCTATACTTGAATTGGGATCTCCTTCGATTTGTTCCGTTTATTGTCACTGAAAGTTTGGATCATTGGATATGATCATAGTTTCACATTTGATCCCATCAGAACTCCAAAACTAAGCATTCTTGAGTGAGAGTAGAATATGGTGGGTGACCCCTTGCGAAGTCTCTGTGTTGCATCTTCCTTCTGTAAATGAAACAAAAGTTTGCATTTCAGTACTTTTGTGTTAATCATATAACTTTGAAGATTTTAGATCACAGTGAAGTCCGGCATCCATATGTTGATTATTCTGGCAACATATGATTTTGAATATTTTTATTGGCAAATAATCTTAATAAGGAAGATGTATGCTGATTCTTTACAGTGAAACTGAATCTAGAGTTCAACATGCACTCGATAATGTTGATGTTTATTAGTTTGTTGAGTTATATGAAGCTTTCTTGCAATTCATTGGCACAAAGGCATCCATGGAACTGCATGTTAGAATTACCTTTGATGTTATTGATCTTTATCGTAGAATTTAATGGATCAGACTACCTCAGATCATTAACAGCGCAAGCTGGTCTTTTCTGTTGTCTTGCAACCTCCCAGCAAAAGACAAGCATAAAAAGAACTCTTTGTACCCTCACTTTTATCCACTTTCTTAGTCATAAAGAGGAAGACTTCACTTCAGGTCTTGATTCAGAGCAGAATGGATTAGTATAATGTAACTATATTTTTGGCATGTTAAATCTCCCTTTTTTGCATCCTTTTTATAAAAGGTTGTGTTTTTGTTTGGTTGGTGATGTTTAAAAAGCTTTCTGCTCCATTGTCAACTAGCATTTGCTCTCCTACTAAGGAAAGGACAGAACTGTTTAGCTTGTGAAAGACGTTTCCTCTTTAAGCTCTACGTAAAATACTTTGCCAGCATAGTGGTATCTGTTAGCTCCTTTTCTTATGAAGTTTCCAATTTTTCCCAAGTGATATCCTTTTCTTGCTTTTTCTTGAATTATTCTGGGACCCATACATGAATGTTTTTTATGGAGAAGGCACTTTTGACTCTTTGGTGAAATGAGATATAATCACCTAAATCTTTTATTTAGTGACTTCTAAGATGTATCTGGAAAAGAAACTGGAAAGAAAACAGGGTAAGGTATTGTACTAAACAAACGGGAGTAAGTATAAGTAAAGATAGGTTGTGTCCATTAAGCTTTCAACATCCCTCGGAAGACTAAGATTTTTACTATAAGTAGGAGGAGTTAAATCTTATAGCTTCCTTTTAACATTAGAATCTCTTGTGCCATATGACTAATACTAGCTATGATCTAGTGTGCCTCAGGATGATTTACAGCATATCAGACCAATTCTCAGAGCTGAAAAAGATATTACGTCCCTCCTCCAGCCAGAGTTCAGCTTCAGGACTCACTTCTAGAGGTTACCCAGATGATGCTACATCTGCTTCAGCTGATGCTACGTCTGCTGACTCTGACTTCACATTTCAAGCTCCGGGTTCAACTCCACCACATTTATCTTCCCCCGATCCTCATGCTTTCCAGCTTATAGTTCAGGATCTTGCAGCAGCTGAAATCTCAGGTCAGTCTAGTGTCCCTTAGGGTGGCTTGAACACTTTTACTAGTCCTAAAGTACGGCACCATTCACTTGTTCTCCACGAGCAAAATCAGGACGCTAAATTCCACTTATTCTCATTGGGGGGAATGATATTCTTTCCATTTAGTAGAAGTCTCCCTTTCATCCGTTAGACAATGATAGTTTAGTTACAGCTGCATAATTCTTTTTGTTTTTTGTTAAACTGAACCTGCTACAAGAAACTATATTATATATCCTTTTTTCTCTTGGTTGGTTGTGTTGTGCAGGTTCTGGAAACTGGGAAAATGACCGGGAGGGGGTATTCGATGACTTCTTCTGATGGAAATTGCTCTTCAATTTGTTGTGTCTCTCTATACACACTACAGAGATGCTAGCACTTTACTAGATGAATAGCCTACTTGAGCTTATACTAGGCATCTCAACCAGATCTTGACAACTACTTTGCACAGTAGAATCCCAGACAGTTAATGTTCAGGTACAGTTTCTCGAGCAAAGGTTTCGTTTTGGTATTAAGATTTTTCTATAAACTTCTTTTGTATGTCCTGAATATATGTGTGAATGAGTAGGTAACTGAAGTACAATAGTCAATTGAATGTAGACTTGCAAGAGCTGTCGATCCACTTTTAATACATCTATAGTGCTCTCCATGAGTTAGATCCACTCCATCTGTATGCAAAGCTCTTGAATATCCTGTGTGTGCATTACTCCAACTTTTCATTTGCTCCTGCTTTTTCTGGAATCTTCACTGAATAAAGCTATACACCCCTCCCCATCAGTACCAGTGCGGGCACTCAACTTTTCATTTGCTCCTGCTTTTTCTGGAATCTTCACTGAATAAAGACTCTACACCCCTCCCCATCAGTACCAGTGCGGGCACTGCATATAGCAGCATTGTCTCATTATCTTGTCTCAGGTTTTCATCCTTTGTCACTTAAAACCTTCTCTAAGATAGTTGTGCTTCAGCCAACTCCCATTTGTAGGCTTTCTTGTCTATGTTCCTATCATTTTCTTCCTACTCTGTTTTTATCCCCTTCTCTAACTAGGCCTCCTGATGGTCTCCAATAAAAAATTGTCAATGGACCAAGATCATGTCTGTTATTGATATCCATCTTGGAATAGTTGAACATTGCGGGATTTATTTTATTAAAGTACTTGTCCTTTTTCAATAGGCTTGACAAAAAGCTGACCAACTTAGATTCGGAAAACAAAAATCTATGTCAGCTGGTTCTGTCACTGGCTCAAAATATGTGACGCTGTACTCCAGATCAATGATTCAGGTAATCCTGGGCAAATGTTCCTCTTGGACAATAGAGTTTTTATCTTTCATACTGTTTAACGCATTTATGTGATATTTACAGAGGACCTGAAGCAGAAACTGAAACATAGTCAAAGGCTTGCAGATTTGTTGTCCTTCCAGTATTTTGCTTACCTCTTCTATCGGTTGAGTAAGAGCTGGAATTTGAAATAGGATCTGGCATAGCACATCATTGAATTCAAGCGTTAATTCAAAGGTTGAGTGAAGACCACAAAAATAACTTAATGAGAAAAAACAAGAGTGCCAAGACTTGCTCATCCAATGTATTGCACTGCACCTTGACTTCTTCAAGGAAAGAGCTGTTGCTGCTTGCATTATCTACAAGTGCCTTAAGCAGTGGCGGCCATTTGATGTTGAGTGGACCAGTATCTTTGACAGCATAATACAATGGATAGGCAAGCTATTGAGGTACGAATTAATGTTGTTAGAATGTTGTTATGTGCAAAGCTTCTATTCAATTAAATAAATGCAGGTTCTTTTTTTCCACGTAGAAGGTAGTTATTCTGAATTAAAGCCTATTGGCTAGCCGAGACATCCACTCTGTTTGTGCTGCTGCAACACAATTAGAAGTTGGTATACTGCTGGGTAATACCCCACAAGCAGTCACATTGGCTACTCTTCCGTAGAATGACACAGGTAAAATTTGATTATTTTGTTTGGTTGTTATCATTTAGCAGTTGACTCCACTTGACGATAAACATTTTCCTAGAGCTGTCATAGAACCCCCTCAAGGAGTTCATCTTTCTCTCATTAATGATGATTCAGCTGGTGTAGTGGACACCCTGAGCCAGGTTGAAGGCAAATATCCTGCTTTGCTGTTTAAGTAGCAGCTAAACAGCATAAGTGGAGAAGATTTATGGACTAATCTGCGATGATTCTGCCTTTTGGATTCTGCATCAAGGTTCAGAATGTAACATTTCTCAGTGTAATTATACAAATATAAAAGAGGACATAATATGTGGTGTTTACCTGATGCCCTTGTGATGTATTTCTATAACTGATTTAGGCTTCAAGCTTATCCAGACCAGGAATACTCAATGAGACAGCAGTACACTCGCCAATGCTGCTACTCAGGAAAATTTTGGTGCTCACTGCTGACGTGTCGAGAGTAGTTGTCTTTCTAAAAATCCAATCATGTAAAAGCTGCATCCATAAATTTGTTCTTCTTCCACACTCCTTTCTTTTCTTTCCTTTTCTCTTCTCTGGCTTCATAAGAATTCCCTGTTTGTTGCCCCAAATTCTTTTCAGGTTTATAGCTGACTGGTGGCGAACTGGGGAGAGAGCAGGTGTGCCAACAAACATGTGTAAAACCTGGAATGCCTGTAGATTAAGAGAGAGACACCAAACAAAATTTTGCTACAGAATTATGCAGTAGTAATAGTTACACTCTGAGCACAATTTTGCAGCAGAATCAAGAGTTCAATAAACAATCAATCGACTAGATTTGTATCCAAAACTAGTTGAATTAAATTATATAAATCATCTGTATATGATTCTTCATAACTTAATTATTTTTACGCTAGCTATCAACCTACTATATGAGGTAATGAGGGTGTTTGGACTGACTTTTAAGTTGGTTAAATCAGCTTTTAAGCACTTTTTAATTTTTTTCAGTGTTTGATAAAGTTAAAAAGTACTTAAAATAAGTTAAAAACTGCTTAAAACAAGCCAAAAGCAATAAGCTGGGCAACCCCAACTTATTGCTTTTTGGCTTAAAAACTATTTCTACTGAAACGCCACTTTTTTAAAACAATCCAAATGGGCTCTAATTATTCTTCAAAGTATATATATATATATATATATATATATTTTAATGCATCATATTACATAGGGGAACTTTTCTAGTGAAACGAGTCCATCCCTTTTAAGTCTGCAACATAGTAGTAATTCATTACAAAAGGGGTTAGGGTATCAAAAGAACAAAACAATCATCTTCACTTTCCTTAAAGTTCTTCTTTTGCTAATCTATCTTTTTATGATAGCCTTCCAGGACTAGTCATGAGGTACTTGCAACCAGTTAATTCATGTAAGTATTTAATTATCTTTTATATAATAGCATGGTTATAAATTATAATCAAGGAAAAGAGAAATGTTTATGCCAAAAATGAAAAAGGAAAAGGGAAATGTTTGGCAATGAAAATGGCAAGGGTGTTTTTGTAACTGTACCCCTTTACAGCATGTAAGGAATCACTAATTAAGTTCAGAGATGAAATAGTACTATCTCACTTTGTGAGTTAGTGACAATTTTCTTGCCAGTCACACCTATGATTTAAAGACAGCTGAGAAAGTTGTCATTTTCAGTTTCCGAATCAATAACATTAGCCTTACTTATATGGTAAAGTTATTTATTTGTCTATACCTAGTGTAATATGAAATAACAATACATATATAAGCAAATATTATTGTTAATTAAAACGTAAAATAAAAGCTAGACATGTTTGAGGCTAATGATCGATTTAAATCGATTTGCTCACATTGGCACATGGTGCTTTACAATTAGACTTCCATTTTAATGCAAACACCTAATAATAGTAAACTTTTTTCCTTTACACCTTACATGAAACCTTACTGGATTCAGCTATTATAAGAGGCAGAAGCTGGCCATGATAAAGTTAGCGCTTAATCTAATATATATTTGGTTATGTTGATAGATATTGATATTTCCCACATAGTTCCATATTTGCAGCTTTATTCCATTGTAATTATAACTAAATGACTTAAAAACTTCATGGAGCAATGCCTAGAAAAGGTTCTTTATTAGTTTATGGTAGTGTCATTTGATTAATTTCATAGGTATTACATGTCCCGTTTTGTTCATTTCCAATTTTTAGTTGGAACTCAAAGACTCAAAAACATCATAGTTCAAGGGCTATGGAAGGTTCTTTCAGCTAATTCTGTAATGTGAGAGCAAATGTTATTGCAGTAAACAAAATTAATCGTTGGTCCACAGCCAAACCAACCAACCATACATTGAACTAAACAAACCAACCGAATTGTAGTGCTACATGATCACGAACGAACTCAGAGAATTACAATACGTAGATTGAACTAAAAAAACCAACCGTATTGTTGTGCTACAAGTTTCTTTATCTAAATTCACGTCTGGTTGCTACAAACGAAAACCAAGTGTGAAAAGGGTCTGGTACAAGTTTGGCATTTGTATCACTTCATCTTTTCTTCCTTGAACAAAACATGACAATTCACACGAGGATCAAACTTTCTAAATTCAAGTTTCGTTTGACTCGTTTGAAGCTTTTTGGTCTTCTTCTTTACATAGAAAAACCCAGTTCCAGCAGCTGAAACGAGCCTCACGAATAGAGCTCCAGCCTTCTTCTTATCACCCATTACTTATCTGGTAGAGACAACCAAAACAGATGAAAATTTGGTCTTCCAAAGATGTGCAGAACTAAATAGTTGAAAACCCACCAATAATCAAAAGACAAGCTAAAAGAAAACTTCAGATAGTGGAACATAATTTTTAGGTTAGTAGGTTGGCAATGGTTTGAAGGAGCTAATCAAGTCTGATGGACAGAGAAATTTTAGAGTTCGGCAAATCATTTGATTTTCATTCCAAAAATCTGTGAGCCTACATCCGAACTTGCACAAAAACATGTTTGAAAACTTTTCTTCTATACCATAACCCAAACAACAAAACAAAACCAGCATTATACCAAAACTGTTTGCTGGTCCAAAATGAGTTTGTCTTTCTTTGCTTTTGGTTTGCTTGGTCCTTGTTTTGACTTAAATGCCATGGTTCATCAACACTAAATCTCGGTAGCAAGAACTCCTTAATGTATATATAGGCATATGAGCACTAGGCGCACAAACTCAGCAGGTCAAATTGGAAGGGAAAAAGTTTGAGCTAGATTCAAGTTCAATAAGGATTGCCTGTATAGCTTGTTCTGGCCTTGATCCAAGCTTACTTTTCAAGTGTAATGACGAAGAAACAAAAGACAGAATACTTGCTTACGAAGATAAGGACGAAGATAAGGAAGATGGAAACTTATATCCTTTTACCATCATATTGACTAACAAAAACAGAAAATTAGCAGTTCTCATGATAAGGACAATCTTTATAGTTCACTCGAGACATAACGGTTATAGTATTCAACTCAGATGTCTTTCCTTTATTTCAATTTTTTTTTTCTTTTTGAAAGACAACAAAGCTTATGTCAACTTAGGCTATGTAAACAACATCTTCAACATGAAATTCAGAACCTCAACCCAACCACCCCTTTCCACCCAACCAACTTATATATCATTAATAATAAGCCAACAATTTTAAAAAGCAAAAAAGTAGTAGTGAAATTGCATGACTAAAACACCATTCAATCCTTTTTTTTTCCTTTTGACAAGCCCATTCACTTCTCCAAATACGAATATTATATGAGTGCCTTCAGGAAAACCCCCTGGGAAGGTTTCTTCTTCTCATTTCATCATAATCAGGCTGAGATGGGTCCTACATCCTATTAGATGTATTCTTTTTGCATCCTTCCACAGTATCACTACTAGTATAAGAAAGAATATCAAACGCAACAACAAAAAAGCATGCTTCTCCGCAATCATCCACTATCTAGTCTTGCTTAGAAATTTCCCAGTTCAAGAATTTCACTATAAAAAGGTTCTAACCAACTCGTGTTATAGTAAGTGTGAGACTGCATAAGTAGTTCATGTTTGTTTCTTTGACAATTGATATACTTAGATATCATTTTCCTTTGGGCTAGACAAATATACAAAAAGCCTTCAGATATTCTTCAGAGGACATTGTTCTCTCCTAGAAGCTAACCACTCTCCCCAAATCAAGGTTTTGTTTATGTCCAAATAATATGTTGTATATAAATATATGAATTTCACACACACAAATGTAGTTTAGATATGATATTTCTACATCGGAAAACCAGGCAAAGCTTAGTCGTCAAGCCCTTACCCTAATATCTTGTGTTGCCAACAATTTTTTTTACTGAGAAGTGCAATTTGCAGTGATGATTCGCAGATTAGAGTATATCCTCTTGCTTACATACTAAACATACTTAATGGTCAGTAAGTGTCATCGAAACTCACAAATCACAAAGAGTTACTCCCTCCTTTCCAATTATATGAATCTATTTCCTATTTGATCTGTTAAGAAAAGAATGACCCCTTTCTAAATTTAGAAATAATTTAACTTAAATTTTCAATAGAAGCTTTTACAAGCCACACAAATACTCTGGACCCTTTTGACTTGTTTAAGACTACAAATTTCAAAAAAAATTTATTTTTTGTTAAACTGCTCAATCAAATATGTTCACATAAATTGGAACGGAGGGATTAATAAGAAAGAGAAAAATAGAGATAGAAACTAACCTAGAAGATGCGCAGATCAGCCGTACGCCGCCTGCTGCTGTGCCGTTCGCCGCTTGCTGCCGAAAGAGAGATTGGAGAGGAAGGGGGGAGGATGAAAAAATAAGGGTTCTGGCCAAATAAAGAGAAAAGACACAAAATAGTCCACTATCTTTGGGTTTGGACTCAAAATGATCCACGTTCTTTCATCTAGAGCACTAATAGCCCTTAATGTTTGCTAAAGCTGTACATTTTTAGTCACTTCCCCAAAAGTTCCGTTAACCACAGCAGCAATGGATTTGGTGAAATTCATCACTTTAGCCAGCTCCATGTCAAATGAACTGGCCAGATCTTGTTTCTTGCTTATGTTTAACCAGTATGCATATATCTAACAAGTATTATACAATTGGATTTAAGTTCTTTGCACTTTTATATCTTTGGCCGATATAATATCATGACTTGACCAAAAAGACCCAGGCTTGTCTTGCTATGCCTTTGTTTGATAATATGTTAAACTTATCTTTGGTGTTTAGCTATCGACGTCCATTCTATGTTTCTGGTTCAATAACCATCATTAGTAACAAAGTACATGACCCTAAACATGAAAGAATACATCTAAGTAAATCTTTCTATTCTTGTTAGTTGGGGCAAAGCACCGAATTAAATAATTATATTCTGATGCTCTTTTTTCACCGATTCAAGTTCTCTCTTTCAGAGTGAATACACAAGAAATTTACTATAAAAATTGATGTGACACAACCTTTGAAGAGTATGACATGCCTGGCTTCTCTTGATCTCCACCCACCTCCATAGAGACGGGGCAGTATAAATATGATTTTGATGGTTTATATTTTTATGGAACTATGAAGTATCAGTGAGCACCAGTGGTCTAGTGGTAGAATAGTACCCTGCCACGGTACAGACCCGGGTTCGATTCCCGGCTGGTGCAAAATATTTTACCTTTTTTTGTCATTTTGACCTTCTTTTCGATCTCCTTAATGGTTAGATACTCTAGAAGCTCTGGTGCATAGTTAATCAGTTGTCTTAAGAACTGGAAACATACATATTTTTTCCATTAGCTCAATTAACTTAGGTATCAAATAAAATTAAGAAAATGGAAAAATGCCTTGGTTTTGGTAATAACATGAGAATATGAGATGGGATAAAGGATTTCTTTTTCGACTATATTTCACCAAATACAAGCTACACAATATCTAATAATAACATAAGTACCTAGTAATTTTGTCCATCAAATTTAAAACAAAGGAGGACTCAGTTTTGCATAATCCTAAAAGCCAATATTCCTACTAGTATATGTTTGATACAAGAGTTGGTCTAGGCTTTGCATGTCTTGCATATTCATCCCAATATCACTGCAATTATCAGAAGACTCCAATGAGCTTTGTGGTGATGAGCTGGACTTAAAATAATTATAATAATTAGCTGGAAAGGACGATGTCATTAATCCACTAATTGACTCCATATTATTGTTGCTCCATTGAGGATTACTTGAATTGATAAAGCTTTGAGCTAGCTCAGCCTTCACTTGCATTAGTTGAGCCTGCAAATATGCTACCTGAAATATACATAACAAGAAGAAATCAATTTCCGGAACAAGGCTTTGAGAAATTACTACTAGGGCAAAAATATTACGACTATTTGTTTTAATATAAGGGTTAATTTCACGGTCATTGAACCTTACCAATTATAACAGTAAAGTCACAATATATTAAAATAGCTGAACTTTATTATTATACTGAATAAAGTCACTTACATTAATGCGATGAAATTTAGATTTATGACTTTATGAAGTCCAGTGGTATTCATACGTGAAATTAAATTTTTATTTTGTGGACAGGAATATATTTTGGTTTTTATTTTTTATTTTTACAGCACTTGATCGAATATCTCTGCTTTTTGATCTTTGATCTGAATAAGTAGTTTTGAGACGTCAAACATGATGACATTCGATGCAACACAAGAATGTATTACTGATAGTTAATTTCTAGCCATTAAAACTAGCTAACTTAAGAAAGAAATCACTTACTAATCATACTTAGCAAGTTGAAAAGAGATTTTGCCATTAACAACAAGTTGGTTGAGTGGAATTTATGTCTTTTGCAAATATCTGATTTCATGCTTCAAAGATTTAAGGAACACAGCTAAGAATCTGATGAGATATATATTACAATCGAAAGCAAATGAGAAAGGGTAGAGGCGGATCAACAACAACAAACGCAGTGTAATCCTAAAAATGGAGTCTAGAGAATAGTGTACGTATGCAACCTTACCACTCCCTTGAGAAAATAAACATGTTATTTTCGATAGATCCTCGGAGAAACAACATGTAATAATAAAAATACAAGAATAATACTAAAATTACTGGCAAGATGTTGAGTTACCTGCTGTTGTAAAGAGAAGATGTTGGCAACACAACCATAAACAGGATCTTTGATCCTAGCTTGAGCTTCATAAGCAATGGTGACAACAGCATCACAACGATCAGCAACAGGAACATGCAACAACAATTTAGACACATTACTTGCTCCAAACACTTTGTGAATTGCAGCAAATTTAGCAGGACCTTCTTCTGTACAAAAATAAGGTGCAAAAATACAATCAACAGCACATTTTCGCCGTAGAAATTTGCATGCACCACAAGGTGATCCTGTCCCAGTTGCCATTGCCAATATAGCCCAAAATTTATTCAGAAAGCAAAAGAGAAAAGAAGGTAGAAAAAAGAGAAATGGGGCGCACGAGCACAATAGGAAATGATGGAGATGGTGAAATGTAAAGTGGGGCTAAATGGTGGATTTGGAGAAGTCTTATAAGTCTGAAAGTAGGGACATAAAAGGTCTGTGTGTTGGGTTCTAAGGGGACAATTATTAATGGCTTATGCAATAGTCAATAAGAATTTGTTATCCTAGCTAGTTTTTATTATTCCATTTTTATACTATATGATTGCTTCTTAAGCTTATTTTGACGGTGATGTATAGTTTGTGCACATCTCAACTAATTTTAGAGTACTTGTAACCTTCCACTAACATAAATACTGAGCAATTCTATTTACCAATGCCTAAACAGATGGGATGAAATCACCTTTTTTACGCTTCCGCTCGAATTTGCACGTGAAACCTCATGATTATCAACTCACTCTATTGACGATCTAAACTGCACCCTAGGTAGAGATATGTTGGGTTCGAAAATAACAAGGCGTCATGCGGAAGCTTACAATTACAAATCTTCAATGACGATAAATCAGACGATAAAAGAGCTATAAAAACACTTTATTATATGATATGGGTTTGGTCAATTGATTTATACATGATAATACTAATATAAAAATATATATTTTAAAAATATTCAGTGAGGCCACATATTTTCCTTCGGGAAAGAAATATGTCAACTATGGGAGAGATCTATATTTTCCTTTAAGGAAAAATAAAACAGTTTTTGTAACAACCCAACCCACTAGTGGTATTATTCGCTTTGGGCCTAGGTCCGCACGACTTTAAAATGTGTTACTAGGGTCTAAGAGTTGTTAACTTATATACCTAAAACTCTCTTGTATTTTGCTGATGTGGAACACTCTCTAAAGTCTGGGTTGTTACAATCACCCCTCTTATGGAAGTCTGGGTGTTACAATTATGGTTAATAGTATACACTTCCTTCAAGTAAAAGAATAAGGTAAGAAAATCAGGACAAATTCCCAACAAGGCAGACCTATGCTATACCGAAAGGAGTGACTGGTACCCGTAAAGTTCGATAAAAACTCTATGTACATATCTTTAGAAAATAGTAATATATTAGTAATGGATACCCTTAATTTATGCAAGTAAATTTTGATTGAATCCAAAACTATATTCCTAACCTTCAAATTCTGGGTCCGCCTCTAACTCCCGGAGCTATATGTTCTTAGACTTAGAATGGAATTTTTCGATTAGTTTATTAGTTCCAATTGAAGAAGAAAAGTCATTTTTTCTATAGTAGGAAAAGAATAACATATAGTGACACGGTTGGCGGGGCCGTAGTCATTTGTCATGTTATTTAATTGAACGGTTACGTTTTATTTTTTAATAGCAGAAAATAATTGTGCATGTTTATTTGTTTAAGTATTTTCCCGCCGATCGCCGCACCTGGGAACTGCTGCTTCTTTTTTGTTACTTTCTCCAATTTTATTTTCTTCTCACGTGGAGATGAAGCTTTGCCGACAGCTTTTTTTGACTTTTTTTTTAGTCACAGCTTTGTTTGACTCTTTACTACCTCCGTTATGTGTATATATTGACAGCAAAGTTAATTTTTCATTATTTATCTATTTTAACAAGATAAAGATTAAGTGATTTATTGATAAGGTTATTGTGAATAATTATATATTTTGTAGGTTATCTTCATCTAATAGTAATTAAAATTACAATTGTCTGAATAAGTTAAGCTCTTCGTTTTTCGGTTGGATCTTTACTAATTTAATAGGAACTGCAATAATATATACTCCCTTCGATCCACTTTAAATGATTTTTTAGCTATTTTTATACATATTAAGGAATCCATCTTTTAGCATTAATTAATAATAAAATGATCATATTAACCTTAATTTATTTATTAAAAATATAATAAATATCCCTAGGCTCTTTACTCCAAGGACAACTTTGAAAACAAGAAATTAATTTCTTCTTGATATCTAAATTCTGAAATATCAAATATTATAGACCATAAAAAAAATTAAAATGAACCGAAAGGAGTAACAATAACGTGGATTAGCCACTTTTCAGCACAATCATATGTAGGGGTGTACATGAACCGGGTTGGTTCGAGTTTTCCAATTACCAAACCAAACTAATTATCTCGGATTTTTAAATCTATTAACCAAACCAACAAAAGTCGGGTTTTTCAATCTCGGTTTTTCTCGAATTTTTCGGTTTTCTCGACCAAATCTTCATAGCATAAATTTTATAATTTGTGCTCTAATATTTCTTAGGTCCTAGTAGGATAAAACCATATAAGATGTTACCCAATAAAATAATACAAAATATTGTGAGATGAGTCATAATTATACTAAAACAGTCAACAAATCGTATAAATAAATATTGTTAATTAATAAGCCATAATAAAAATAAATACAATCTAAAAGTACTAAATCATGTTAAATAAGTACTACTAATAAGTACGAAGTATTAATTACATGACTAAATAATATTAAAAGTATGTTATGTATTTTCACTATCTACGTAATGAAAAACTAAGAAAATAAATATCCAATACTATTATCATTCCTAGTATTGAATTGATTTTTTTTTTGTTAGCATTTTAATTGATTTGATTTTGCTTTGGAATTTATTTGAATCACTAACTTTTATGGGCTATAAAACATATTTGACCATTCAAAAGTTCTAAGTCAAAGCTTGAAATAATACATTAAAATAGAGAACTATGAAAAAGGTTAAAAATATTTATAAATTACATTATAATTATTATTTTTATGTATAAAATATTTTAAAATTTGTATACATGTAATGTAGGGTTGGTTTGGTTTCGGTTTGACTTTTTTTAGTTAAAACCAAACCAAACCGATTATGGTCGGGTTTTCTTTTCTAACACCAAACCAAATCAAACCAAACCATAATTGAATTTTTTTTCCGATTTGACTCGAATTATCGGTTTGGTGCGATTTTTCGGTTTCCTTTGTACACCCCTAATCATATGGTTGGGCAAAGAACTGCTAAAAAAACGAGTAGATATCATTAGTGTTGAAAGTAGGCACACGTTGGAGGTGACAAGTGTCTACTAAATCAAATGTTTCTACTTAATTATCTAGGGTGAAAATTGTCATTAATTAAGTAGGTTTACCTACCGTTAAGCACAATTTATAATTTTAATACCCCGTAATCATAAACCCTTGCTTGTAATCTAATTCTCAGACAAAATGTCCCCTTGATTGACTGCAACTATGCTAATTAATGATCAACAAATTTTATTTCCTCTAGCTCGCGTAGGTCAAACTAATCTTCCGTTCTCGAGCAAATTATATATACATTCTTTTTTTTTTCACTTGAAACATAAAATTTCGTTTTTTCCTACCAAACATCTTCTTAATACAAATTAAGTTTTTTAAAACATGCTTAGAAAGTGGACAAGATAATATATACAATAGTTTGGAGTCAGGCTAGATGAATAATTTATATTCAGTTAAAGTATTCATTTTAGTATATTTATCTATCTATTAACCTAGTACAATTCTCCCTTTTGTCTATGCTTGAGACTAATTATACTTTTTGAAACTCATATAAATAAATTTTAGTTATCAAAGATTAGACGGTTGGGGAAAAATAAAAAGGCTAAAGAATAGGCAGTGACCTACCTTTCCAAGAAGAATAAACAATCAAAAAGGGAAAAAACTTACCAGATATTTACACCAAGCAAATAAATAAATAGCATCTATCACTATATTTAAATACAATTATTAGTATTTAATTATGGTTAACTACCTTTTAGTCTATACATGATTAAATATATAAAATTATACTTGATCACCTTGCTATTCCCTTGTGCACTTAACGGCAAGTAGATTGAATAAAAATTGTGAATCATTTTTATCAATTCTTGTGGCCAAAATATTCCAATAATTTTTATGGGGTGATAAGAAGTAGAGAATTATTTCTTTATTGTCATTTACAAATTTCCTCTTTTATAATACAATCATTTATTTCTTATGGCCAATTTTTTTCAATAATTACCTGCTCAAACTAAGTGTCGACCAACCATTAAAATAGAATACATTTTGAAATAAAAGTTCCAAGAAGCAAAGCTCTATTTCACCAAAAAGATTCTTGGTACCAATCTCAAGAAATTATATCCCCCTCACTTTACTTTTCTAGCTTTAGATGTCACATGTTTTGGAGGTTTAATTACTTTAGGAAGAAGGGTGAACATAATTTTTTTTAGTTGTAGGTGATTGAGGTAGTAATTAATATCCCAATAACGGAGCTAAAAGGATCGGCGAACCCTTTCGCTGAAAAGTTATATTGTGTATATAAGGTATCTTTTTTTATGTATATATACTAGAAGTTAGAACTTTTTTTGCTTCTTTGTGTAGTTACCTTCTTCTTTTTTAAATTTTCTTGGTGAAAACCATACCTCCGACACTGTTCGCCTTCGTTAAATCAGGTATACTTCGAGCTCATGACAAAATGCATAGAAAGCAAAAGAGCTAATTTAGTCGAGCGGCAAGTAGCAACTTTGAAACTTCTTTCGGCATTAAAAAATTGAGAGATGATGAAAAGAGATTTTGGTAAGTTGTTTAGTATAATATACTCCACTAATTGAACTAAAAAAGTAATTATTTGTTGAAGCCATTAATTAAATAAGTGCATTATGGGTGGGGGTTTTTGTTGATGGGAATCAATTTCAAGAAGGCAAGCTCTCACCAAAAGGTAAAACAATGACCAAGAAAAAGAAGAATGTTAGAAGAATCTAGAAGCTAAGGTGAAGAACAGAAGAAATGAGGATGAGAAAATGAAAATCTGATTCTGTATCTCTTCTTCAATGCATGAGCACTGTACACATATATACAACACACACGAGCACTGCCTCTAACTAACTAATTAACTGACCTATTACAAAAGGGTCACCTGAGACGCTTGACTTCAATACCCCTCTCCCACCCCAAGCTGGAGGGTGGTATACATCTAACACCCCTAGCTTGGATAACAAATAATGGTGTTGTGCTGCACCTAGTGCTGCACTGTGGGCCGGTCCTGAACCGGATCGGGCCGGGCCC